TTTCTGCGTGAGTGGTTTTCTAGGTCATCTAGCTTGTCCAGTATCTTCTGTTGTGCTCGATTAGATTGTGTGGCCCCCGCCTGCATAGCTTGGACTTCATCCTCCAGATCGGAGATGCGATGCTCCGCTTCAGTTATGCATTTGACATTTTCTCCCAGGTCCCTTCTCAGTTGTTCTATGCCTTGTGTTACAGCCCTGTCTACTGCCTGTGTAATGGCAGGTAACAATATTGAGGCTACAGCCTGTGCAATTTTTTCATATTGCTCCATAGGACTACAAGTATCAGCATGCCCTAGTGGAGAGGTATGTGATGGCTGTGTTTCCCCCCTACCTGCTCCTGGGTCTGCCTCAGGCTCTGTGTCCATGCTCAATAGTCTGGCATCTGTGCTGCTGCTGCTGGTGCTGTTGCTGTTACACTGATCATGTGCGGCGATCTTGGCTGCGAGAGAGGGAGAGATGTTCCCCAGGGACCGACCCGCGGGATCAGGGCCAGGTGTCACCGGCCGCAGATACCAATCCATCCGGGATCGGATGGGGGAGACTTAGGGGGCACTCCCGTGCCAATCAGGTAAGTCCCCCGGTGCAGGGGGAGGACTTTATATGCCAGTAATTCCGGAGCTGCGGGATCCCTTCCCTAGCTCATGCGGCGCCGGAACCGGAAGTCTTTGCAAACTGTTCTTATGACATAGATACACAGTTAACATCTTTTGATTGAGTTGTAGCACCCTCCTAGTTAGGTGTTTGTTAAATGTATTTTTTTTATTTTACTCACGCTATAATCAGAGGAGTGGGATTGTCTATTTTGGTCTGCTGTGGCTCCACAGGATGTGGGTTGATTGCCTCCCCCTAGTTCTGCTGAAAAACGTCCAGAGCCGAAAGTGGAAGTGAAAAATTAAATCCCCAGCTTGAATATTTACTACCCTCTGACCAGTCCCTGGGAAGGGGGTGTGCCCAGTAGGTGGTCAGGGGTAAATAGACTAACGACCGGATAGAAGAGTTAGTTGGTGCCTGGTCCTACCTACATGGGGATGGACTGCTGATGCTCCAGGGGGCTGCTTGCCCCTGCAGCCATCCAGGACTGGTGTTATGGACACAAATAGATCAAATTCTGGATCTTTCTAACCAGGTCTGTGAGTAGAGCTAGAGTACTGAGCAGCACTCCCCAAGATCCCCAGCTTTGGATCGTGACTGTTAGAGTTAGCCCTAAATTTCTTTAAGATTGTTTGCAGTTCAGTTGCAAGGGGTCTAGACTGCTCCATTCTACTTTAAACTGTTCTAAAATACTTCTAATCACGGTCTTCGGCTGTGAACGTAGTGACTGTGTTGCCGTTATAGAAAGAAGTGTCCTCAGCTTGCATTTGAACTGTTTTGAGTATTTTGGCATATCCCATTCCCCATTGTTCTTCTTCAGTTGAAGTTTACAACAAGAAACCTCCAAAAAAAGAAAAGACTGATTATTAAGCCTGATTGAGTGAACTGTTGCTGTGTGCCTGGCTACCTCTGCACTATATGGGAATGAACTTGGGCAAATCCGATGCCCCTTCAGGTGTTAGCTTTACATAGGGTTAGACTTACACTGACTTTAAAAGGTTTTGGAAGTATATTAATAACAACAACCTAAAGTCTATGTAAATCCTAAATCTATTTCCAGTATGTTTGTCATCCTGTCTTATTGCATTTTGTTTTTTGTTGCTTTTTATGAATTGATTGCAGAGTTTCTTACCTGAGCATCCTGCCAATAACAAACACATTCTGACAACACAGCTGACAATGCTAAACCACTGCCTTTTTTTTTCCAACTGGCAGCATTATCAGCCAGTTGTGTGTGCTTCTTCCATTGGCTATTGGGCTGCCATGTAAGCTGACCTCATAGGCAGTCAAATGGCCAACTGAAGCAGCATATACAGTTGACAGTGTTGATGATAATGATAAAGCATTGGCTTTATGTCATCAGCCTGCATGTTTTTTGAATGCTGCATTTCATGTGAACTCCTCATTTTTTGTGTTTGTACTTTATGTATTTAATATCTGTACTGTGTTTTACTTGCGAAAAATGTAAAGTAATAAAGCAAATTAGGAGCTATTTTTCATTTCAAGAATATGTTTTATACAAGCGTCTACATCCATTTATTATGGCACCCTTAAAAATTTTAAACATTTCACCAAAATCTGAAAATTTTGCTCATACCTAATGTTTGCTGTCATGTAAGGTTAAATGAAGCAAAAAAGAAGTTACAACTGACAGTGGACTTTTACGAGAACACCAAACAAGACAGTGTGTTGGAGAATACAAATTCCTATGATAATATTTATATTAGTGGAATTTAACCACTTCAAGTCTGGACACTTTCCAGTCCAGGCCAATTTTCAGCTTTCAGTGCTATCACATTTTGAATGACAATTGCACGGTCATGCAACACTGTACTCATATGAATTTTTTAGCATTTTTTTGAGACAGATAAAACTTTATTTTGGTGGTATTTATTCACCACTGGGATTTTAAATTTTTTGCTATATAAATGAAAAAGTCCAAAAATTTTGAAAAAAAAAGTGTTTTTCTTATAAAATTGTGCAAATAAATAATCTTTCTTCATACGTCATCTTGGCCAGTTTATAACCAATTATTTAAATAATTTTTCAAAAATCTTTTTTACATTTTTACTTTATTTTTTCATATTATTATGTATGTTTTTTTTTTTAACATACTGTCAACCTAGCAGTACAGTGTCACCGTAGTGACACTGTACTACTTGTGGGGGGGAGATGAAGATTTTTTTTTTTCTTTTTTTGCACTGATTGCTTTTACACCGTTAAAGGCTGCAAAAGCAATAATTTCTCCTTCTCTCTGGCTGCATTCCTGCAGCCATTGATAAATACAGTGAGATCTATGATTGGTCACAGCTTGTCACATGGTACAAGGCTGTTGTGAATAGCTTTGTACCATGTGACCTCTGTGATCATTCACAGATTTCACACGTAGTAAGCAATGATGTCAGAAGTGACATCTTGTTTACTACTATTCATGTGATCACTGATTGCCCAATCAGTGATCACATGAATCAGGACCTCACACAGAGGTCCCGTACAGTGATCTGTGTTCCGCTGTGTCCTCTGGACACAGCAGGCACCAATCGCAGTGCTGCGCACTCCTGGGGATCACGCACAGGCAATGGATGTGGGGGGCATCTACAAACATTAACCTGCATCGGCAGCACTCCTGTCTGGCCGTTTATCTACATGGGCTGGAAGGGAAGTGGTTAATAAGTACTGGATACATTTAATAAGTGCTGGATACATTTCCATAAATGCCAAAACAAACTCTTTCATGTAGGTCAATTTGTGATTTATGTCTACTGACCCTTCAAGCATTTCAGAAAGTATTCTAAGGCATTTTAGTAGTAATAGAAAAAAAACATAAGTATTCTGCTTATGGCATAATGAATCAGTTTTAGAGATCTCAGTGTGAGGCACCTCAGAGGATACAGCTGTAGTGAACCATTCCTTTACTTCACACTTTATAATAAAGATTTATGACAAGTACTTGCTTGTAGGAGCTCAGAACCATAAAAATACAAAGAAACATGCCTGTGATATAATGTTCTTTCTAAAGAAAATGCACGAAATGCCGCATGCTTAGCTTACTGATCAGTTTTCTTAGTTTATAGTAAATGAACAATAAAAGCCATTTTCTTACACTGTGTTTTATATCTTAAAATCATTTTCTCAATAAAAATGTGTAAAAGTGAAAATGAGAGAAAAACATAATACGTGTTTTACTTTATATTAAACAGAAGTGAATTTACAAGCTTTTATGCATAACCATATACTTTGCTTTGCTGATAAGTCCTCAGCTCAATAAATATATTATTCTAAAGGAACGACAGAAATAAAGGAGCCATGCATCAAAATAGGAAGAGTGGAGTAGGCAAAAAAACAGGAACAGAGGAAAAAAGGAGGAAAAGAGTGAAGAATAGTGGAAACTGGAAAAATATGACCAATTACTGCAAGAGTATGGAATACATATGAGGAGTAAATCTGGAATTTACAAATATGGTGTTAGATTTTGAAGTGGTACATCTTGGCAAAAAACTATAGAGAGAAAAATCTGGTGCAGCTCTGCATAAAAACCAATCAGCTTCCAGTTTTTTGTCAATGCTTCATTGAACAAGCTGTAGTTGGAAGCTGATTGCCTATCATGAACAGCTGCACTAGATTCTTATTGCTGTAGTTTTTGTAAATTTCTCCAATAGTAATGCATTTCAATGAATCTTTTCGTTGATGTGATTGTGGTACCCTTTAATCTAATTGGTAAGCTATGGGGTTAATTTACTAAAACTGGAGAGTTCAAAATCTGGTGCAGCCGTGAATGGCAGCCAATCAACTTCTAACTTCAGCTTGTTCAATTAAGCTTTGACAATAAAATCTGGAAGCTGATTGGTGTCTATGCAGAGCTGCACCAGATTTTGCACTCTCTAGTTTTAGTAAGTCAACCCCTATGGGTTACGGTGCTTTCCATATAGTGGTTGTACTATTCATATGTATTCTTGTAACTAAAGCAAAACTTCACACAACTTCTACATTTATCCTAAAGAACCTATATCCTATTACATCACCACTTCCTGAACAGGCCTGAAGTCCCTCTAGTCCCTCAATCAAAATCAAACATTGTGGTTGAACTGGAGCATGCAAAATCTGGTGTAGTTCTGCATAGAAAGCAATCAGCTTTCAGATTTTATTGTCAAAGCCTAACTGAACAAGATGAAGTTAGAAGCTGATTGGCTACCATGCACATCTGCACCATATTTTGCACTCTCCAGTTTTAGTAAATCAACCCCATTACTGGTATACCATTGCTAAATACATTCAAGCCAACTACATCTGATGCCATATTGGAAGGGGACATAGAATTATAATAGTTTTACCCAGCTTCATGACCTGTGTTATCACTACCTTTTCAGTCATCTGAACTATAAAAGATAAACAATAATAAAAGGACAAACCTTTAAACGCATTGTTGTGTGGAGCTATTACTGTAACTCGTTCATCTACAGAAAGGTGAGAACCCAATCCAGCTTGACTGAACAAATCAATAACTATAGAGGCAACTGAATCTTTCCCCAGTTCGGATAAAGTTTTAGCTGTAAAGTAAAAAGTATAAAGAAAAAAACACTTATTAATATATTCATACATAATAAAATAGTCAAAATCTTTTGGCAATAGACAACTATCATAACGATATCTACACTTAGTATTATCAACTTGCAGGGATATGGTAATTAAATGGTTATTGCACTTATGAATACAGATGTATCAAATTACTGCATATTGTCTGGCTTACGTTAATTCCCCAGATGACTAAACTTTAACAGCTTCCCGATCGCCATATAGCAGAACTACTGCTACAGGGCAGCAGGGCTATGCAAAATCCCATAAATATACGTGATTTTGCATTTCTGGGTAGGGGGAGCGTGCGCCGCCCTACCTGCGCTGCCATTGGTGGCTACAGCTGTCGATCACTGGGCCCCAACAAGAGATTCCCCACCGGCACCCGGCGATCGCTGAGGAACACTGACAAGGGAGAGGTCTGTATGCAAACAACACAGATCTCTCCCCTGTCAGCACCAGCATACAGATTTTTATTGCTCTGCATAGCAGAGCAATAAAAAGCAGCATGCTTACATAGTAAAACACACACAGCACACATAGTAAAACAGCACTTCAGTAAACCCTTTGATCACCCCAGATGTTAACCCCTTCCTGCCCCGTGTCAGTGCTTTTTATTAGCACTGATCATTGTATTAGTGTCACTGGGGATGTCAGTGTCAGTTAGTCAGTTCCCCCCCAGTGTCAGAATACCCAACGCAGTCCCACAGTCCCACTATAAGTCGCTGATTGCCTCCATTACTAGTATAAAAAAAGAAAAAGAAAAATTCTAGTATATATACCACCATTTGTAGACGCTATAACTTTCATGTAAACCAATTAATTTACATGTATTGGGATTTTTTTTAGCAAAGACATGTAGCAGAATACATTATGTTCTAAATTTATGACGAAATAAAATTTTAATTTATTTTTTTTTCTGGATATGTTATATAGCAAAAAGTAAAACATAGTGGTTTTTTTTTTCAAAATTGTCGGTCTCTTTTTTGTTTATAGTGCAAAAAAATAAAAAACACACAGGCGATCAAATACCACTGAAAGAAACCTCTATTTGTTAAGAAAAAGGACATACATTTAGTTTAGGTACAGCATTGCATGACAGCGCAATTTCCAATTTAAATAATGCTGCACCTTACCGCAAAAATTGGCCTTGTCAGAAAGGGGGGTAAATCCTCTGGAGGGCAAGTGATTAAAAAAATCAATTTAAACTCCTTTGGCATGATGAACACTAAACAGGACATTGTTTATCTGATTCATCCCTGCAATTGTGAATATTTATAAAAAATAATTATTTAGTTAATTATAAAAGAATTTTATAGTGTGTAAAATACCAGCAAATATTTGCTATTAACCACTTGCCCCCCAGAGGATTTACCCCCCTTCCTGACCAGGCCATTTTTTGCGAAATGGTGCTGCGTTACTTTAACTGACAATTGCGTGGTCAGGCAACGCTGCACCCAAATGAAATTTACGTCCTTTGTTTCCAACAAATAGAGCTTTCTTTTGGTGGTATTTGATCACTTGTGCATTTTTTATGTTATGCACTGTAAACAAACGTGTAAATTAATTGGGTTACGTGAAAGTTATAGCGTTTACAAATGGCAGTATGTATACTGGATTTTTTTCTGTTTACTAGTAATGGTGGCAATCAGCGACTTATATCGGGACTGTGGCAGACATTCTGACACAGGGGGGAACAGACTTGGTGTCACTGACATCCTCAGTGACACCAATACAGTGATCAGTGCTAATAAAAAGCACTGACAATGTTCTAATGGCACTGGGCATAAAGGGGTTAAAATGTGGGGTGATCAAAGGGTTAACTGTGTGCTGTTTTACTATGAGGCTGTGTGCTGTGCTTCAGTGTGCAGGAGCTGACAGGGGAGAGATCTGTATTGTTTACTTACAGGTCTCTCCCCCATTAGAAATCATCGGATATGGCTGGGTGACGGCGGAAAATCACCGGTCGGGACCTGGTGATTGACAGCTGAGGCCACAAATGGCGTATATATATGTGTGATTTTGCGCACCCATGCCGCCCTGTAGCAGTGGAAGCGGTTAAACTCCCACAATAATATTCTTTCTTTTTTTATGTGAGCACACACTTAGAAAAAGTCCAGCTGAAAGTATCATACTATTATTTGGAAAGGTCAGAGCCTTTTATTGTTAGCATTCATGTTTTGTTTTGGGTAAAAATATAACGGACATATAAAAATATAAAATGCTAAAACTTAATGTGAAGTTACACTCAAAAGCGGAAACTCCACTTATTTCTCTCCTTCCCCCCTCCACTGCCATATTTGGCATCTTTTTGGGGGGGGAGCAAGTACCTGTCAAAACCAGGCAGCGACAAACTGAGCTGGAAGTTTGCACCCCTCCTTGCTCCTTCAGTCTCCTGGGAGCTTGTACAGGTCCCAGGAGACTGCCTAACCAATCAGGAAGTGCAGCGCAACTCGTTCATATGCAGTGGGCACCAGGCTGTGAAGCCACAAGCTGTCACAGCCTGGTGCCCACAGTAGAGATGCCGGCACCATGGAGGACAGAAAGAGAGAAGGGACGTGAGTACATCGCTGGACGCCGGGACAGGTAAGTGTGTGTTTATTAAAAGTCAGCAGCTACAGTTTTTGTAGCTGCTGACTTTTAATAACCACAAAAACGGCTGGAACTCCACATTAAACATTTTTTTCGTTAGAGCAACATTTATCAGGTAGTTTTGGATACTTGAGAGTATGGAAAACATAATTTTACTGAACAGTTCCAGTAAAAAAAATAATATTATTGCTCAGTGTCAGTCAAATTCTGACAGTAGAAGGGTTACTAAAACTGTAGACAGCACAATCTGATGCAGCTGGTACAGAAACCAATTAGCTTCCAGGTTTTATTGCCGAAGCTTAACTGAACAAGCTGAAGTTAGAAGCTGATTGACTACCATGCAGTGGTGTACTTAGGTTTTGTGCTGCCCTAGGCAACACAAAAATTGTGTGTGTGTGTGTGTCCCCAACGAGAGAGCAAGAGAGTTCAATGAGTGTGTGTGTGTATATGATTTTCTCTCTCTTCCCTCTCTCTCTCCCTCTCTTCACTCTCCCTCTCTTCCCTTTCTCTCTCTCTTCCCTCTCTTTCTCTCTCTCTTTCTCTCTTCCCTCTCTCTTCTTCTCTCTTCCCTCTCTTCCCCCCCTCTCTCTCTCTCTCATCTCTCCATCTCTCTTCTCTCTCTCCCTCTCTTCACTCTCCCTCTCTTCCCTTTCTCTCTCTCTTCCCTCTCTTTCTCTCTCTCTTTCTCTCTCCCTCTCTCTTCTCCTCTCTTCCCTCCCCCCCCCTCTCTCTCTCTTCTCCCATCTCTCTTCTCTCTCTCTCTTCTCTCTCTTCCCTCTCTCCCTCAATTCTCACTCTCTCGCTCTCTTTCTCTTCTCTCTCTACCCATCTCTCTCTTTCTCTCTCTCTCTCTCTACTTCTCTTTCTCTCTCTCTCTCTCTCTCTCTCCCTCGCTTCTCTCTCCCCACTCTTTCTTCCTCCCTCTTCTATCTCTGTCTCTCTCTCCCTCTTTCCCCTCTCTCTTCTCTCCCTCTCCTTCTTTATCCCTCTCTCATCTCTCTCTCCTCTCTTCTCTCTCTAACTTCTTTCTCTCTCCCCCTCTCTCATCTCTCTCTCCTTCTCTTTCTCTCGTCTCTCTCTTCCCTCTCTCTCTCTCTTCTTCTCTTTTTTCTCTCTCTCTTTTCTCTTTCTCTCTCTCTCTCTTCTCTCTCTCTCTTTTCCCTCTCTTTTCTCTCTCTCTTTTCTTCCTCTCTTTTCTCTCTCTTTTCCCTCTCTCTTCTCTCTTTCTCTCTCTTCCCTCTCTCTTCTCTCTCTCTCTTCCCTCCTCTTTTCAATTTCAAAAGAGCTTTATGGCAGGAACCTCATTGTCAAAGCAGTTTGTATGGGAAAAGGTGGAGGGGGGAGGGGCAATATAAAGGGGGTGGGGGAAGGGTCCATGTAAAAGTTTTTTAAGTCCTCAGTTTCTCATGTCCCTCTTAGTCTGTCATCTCACATCTTTGTGCAGCTATTTTCACCATTGGCTCTCTCTTCCACAGTCTTAGGAGTTTCCTCTCTCTTCTATAGAAGTCACGTTCCCTCTTTTATCTCTCTCTCTCTTTTCCCCTCTTCCTCCCTCTCTTTTCCCTCTTTCTTCTCTCTCCCTCTCTCTCTCTCTCTCTCTTTTCTCTCTCTCTCTCTCTCTCTCTCCCTCTCTCTTTCTCTCTCTCTCGCTTTCTCTCTCTCCCCTACTAGCACATATTCCCCCCATTCCTCCTAGCAAATACCACCCCCTCCCAACCCAAAATCCCCACTTACGCTTCCTTGAAAAAGTGGAGAGGAAAGAGCCAGCACAGGAGGTGAGCTGTGTTATGTTCTCTAAGCTCTCCCTCCTGTCACCCATGCAGCACATTAGACAGGATCACTAAGAGACCGTATGGGACTGTACACACACATACACACACACACACTATGATTACCACCCCCTACCTCCTCCAAGGGCTGCTCTTCTCTAGGCTGCATGGATGACTGGAGGGAGAGCCCCGGGAATGAACACAACACAGATCACCTCCTTCTGGCTCTTTTCTCTCCCTGCTCCAGGCTTTCCCCTGGTCCAAGCTCTGAATGCGGGTGGGGAAAGGAGCTCAGCAGCCACTTAGGAAAATCAGGGTGTAGCAATTGTACGTACAGAGATGGACGCCATCTTCTATCTTTCTCTCTCCCTCCAATCCCCCTCCCTCAGGAATGTGGTCTGTGTGTATGCTGAGTTCACAAAGCATCAGGCACAGCGGGATAGCTTCATGGTTATAAACCCCAATAAGCCTGGGCCCAGTATGTCTGTGAGACTCTTGCTTGGAGATGATTGTAAAGCTATAAACCAGTCCTATACTGGACATGAAAGATATTCCGAGATAGCAGTAAAACATACATCCCATTTAAAAACCACTTTTCATAACTTAAAATAGGG